AATGAATATACTTTATGCAGTTTTGCTGTAATATTAATATCTACTTTATGGTATTTGTATGCATTGAATTAATCTTATTGGACGGTTAGTTATGTATATGTTTTTGAATTGGGCTACGTTAATTTATAAAAGTTACGAATGAAATGTCATTAGTTGTATTTAGCGTTGCTGAAAATATTAAAAAATTTAATTATGGTACGGAACCGAACCGACCCGAACCAAACGGAACGGAACCGAACCCGAACGGTTCCATAATTATATTTGGACCCGATGGGTCCATTTATTAAATACCCGAAAGTTTTGGATCGGTTCGAGTCTCTTCAGAACCGAACCGACTCACGGACAGCCCTAGTTCCCTTGCATACCTCTGTCAAATTCTGTGCAGTTGATGAATCTGCAAATACAACACAGGAGAAGTTAACTAATGAATTAAAGAAAAATAGCATTTTACTTTTCTTATTATGTCTAGTATACAACATCGAGCATTATGTCAGTTGTGAAACATGCTAAATCCCTTGAAGATTAAAGAAAATGCCAGTAAATGAGATTTATTATCTAACAGAGCACCATTACACATGATACTAGGTCTACAACACTGGGTCTCCAGGTCAATGGTAAATGTTATAGACAGAATAAATCTCTTACCACTACCCTTGGAACAGTGGTAATCCAAGTTCAGCAGCCGAGACGGCAATAACTACCAGATCCTAACACTCGTACAGAGGAATCACCCAAAACCAAAATATCTGCAGATCAACCAATAGTCTGGATTGATCCCATAATAATAAAGCAATAAATGGTAAACAGACGTAGCCTTTCAAAGTAGGAAGAATGAGCACTAACAGACTATGGTCTTGATAAATACAGACTTGTAACCGTCTTCCTTATGTAGTGACCAAGTAACAAAACAAACTCTTACCACTGCAACAAGTCCCAAAAGCCTTCAAATACAGGTTTGTAATTACATAAAGTGCATTCATATCTTCTCTCTAAGAAATGCTACTTTTCTAGTTTTTGGATAATTTCATGATTATTTCACAACCTTTACAAGTAGATGAAATCTTGATGAAGTGAAAAGTCAGTCCCTCCTAAGGCACGGCAATAATGAAGGTGCATTCCAACTTTTTCAATAAAAGTTTGTGATTATTCATGACATTAATCCGTCCTTTAACGCTATCATATTTCTCCATCAATCATTAGCCTCAACCCCATATCTCTATGAGTTCCTGATAAAGCATTCATTCTCCCCAGAGGCAACAACACATGATACGAATAATTTATTAACACACATTTCTGTATGTATACTCATTGTTTTATCCTACTTTCGCCCCTGTTTGGCCCCCATTATTGTTGATTTTTGGGGGGTTGAAAATTTTTAGAATAGTGATTGATGAGAGATGTGTGGTTGAAAAGTTTTAGATTTGTGTGTATTATTATTTTATTTGATGAATGTATGGTTGAGATGAAGAGAGAAAAAAATTTAATGTAATGTAATGAATTATTAATGTAATATGCATTTTATTGTTTAAAATA